CTCGCCGAGCTGGCGTTTTTGGGTGCAACCAAACACACTGGCTCGGCAAGCAAGTCTACAACCTCGTCCACAACCCGAGCTACAAACCTTCTCAAAAACTTTGAATAGGATAATCTGTTTCTCACAGTTTTGGTTTTGGGATATCAATTGAAAATGACAAAAGGAGAATTCCTTGCACTTCTTTGAATAGTACCATGAGGTTATTAATCATAAAACGGCATGGTTTTTACTGAAAACAACTAAATATCACTCGCCTACTATTGTTTCCATAGAACATGCAGCCTCTACGCAATCAAAATGCTGTCTATGTTACAGTAGAAAATAACTTAACATCACTGGAACCCTTAATACACCTTTGCCTCAGAGGGTCAATTTTGAAAATGATACTATTTAAGCTGCTTCTCTACTATGTCACACCATAGCTTTGTACTAGACATTGGCCACATTACTCCCATTTCTCACCATCCTTCTTGTGGCATATTCCTGCATTCTTATCGTAATTCGTGGTGTGAATTTGGCACTGACACATCTGAATGCACATCAGATAAAGGAAAAGACACCAAAGAGGATCACAGGGCTGGATTCTGCTTAGAGAGATACAACCAGCAGTGAGTTCAACCCGAGGGACACCATGCCTTGGCTGAGGGGGGCGAGATTGAGAAGGCAGGTCATTCATAGCGACCTCAGTCAGTACAGGAATTCAACCTGTGCTTTTGGCATCACTCTACATTGCAAACCAGCTGTCCATGAGCTAACTGACTCTCTTATAAAATTATCATCAGCTGCAACAAATTTTGGGCCATTATCAGCATGTAGAAATTAGTAAATCAAGACAACCACATTACAGATCATAATTGGTGTCACTGACAGTAACTTGGATATTATGTTTTATTTATGATTGAAAGGTATACAGGACCATGCTAAGATTGAGCTGTGTTTAAACAGGCCTCTGAGGCCACAAGTTCTAACTGATGTAACTTACCAGCTACAGGCTCATCTACAAACTTGAATTTCCATAGCTAATAATGTGTAATTGGCCTCAGCATGAAATAATTGCCTTTGTTTTTTCCTTTATTAAACACTTTTGTAGTGTGCTGGATACTCTCAGAACTTTTAAATTTAATTAATGAACCTTCCAGGACATTGCCTCATGGTTAGTCACAGAATATGCTATTTTATAACAAGAGGACTATTACAACATAAGGGATACCGTACTTCGGTGCTATGTGTCATTGTTAAGTCCCTTTAGAAATCAAGGAGTTGCTGAATGATAAAAGACCACAGGTTCATCCAGTTTCTTCTACCATAAATCGTAGCTGCATGATTCAGTGGTAATGAAGCTACTGACTAATCATAGCAATAAATCTCGATCAATTTAAAAGCAAAATCTCTATTAATTAGTCTACAAGGGAAGCATAAATGATGTGAAGAAAACACCAGCGAGAGGGAGCTCCAGAAAGCCATGTATCCAAAGGTACCTGTTCCCCTCGAGCATGTTGCACTTACCATTTGTCATGTCTCGAATTACTCATATTATATGCCAATATATTACTTTTTGAAACAGAACTATGTAATTTGCAGTTGAATGAATCAAAACTAATTCCTCCCATCAAATCCCTAGGGAGTCTGTCTGATAGTGTGAGCATTTGTTCACTATATTATTTTGGCAGATTAGTTTTGAATTTATTCTCCTTCAAAGGCAGACTGTTTCCCTTGGCTCTCTTGTTCTGGATGAGCTGAAATACCATGACATGATTTTGTTTTGTTAGAATCCTAAAAGCAGCAATCTGGTTATCTCTTAACCTTTCCTTTTAGTGGCAACATACTCACTGAAGTTCACCTGCTACCTGTCTGTCCAAATCACAAGTTTACTTAAATCTTCACGTTGCTTGGCTTATTCAGCTGTCCAGCCTGCTATCTTCATTCGCTTTCTATCATCTGTAAGCTGCTTGCAAATGTTAGTTGTAGCTTATTGATAAAGATTTTAAACAAAACAGATCACCCTGGGACTCCACAGGTAACAGTCTCCCAGACTGTTAACAATCTCTACTTTCTGGGTTCTGGCAATCACCAATATGTTCAATGTAAAATACTTCCAATGATTTCCACTTGTTTATTTTCAGTACCTGCCTTGCAAGTGGAGCTGTAACAAAACCCTTAGTGAAATTTAATTTCATTTACTGTCTTGTCCCTGAACAGATCATTGTCCATCTGTTTTGCCTGATGGCTTCATTATGAATGCCTGACTATGCTTCAAGTCCCACTAATCCTGCAGGGAATATACATGCAGCTGTGAAGGGGGCTGCTAGCTTTGTTTGACTGACAGTTTTACGGTCTGATGATAAGTTTCTCTTTCTATGAAGGTGCTTGTCAATACTTATTGTTTACTTGGACATGACGAGGAGATATAAAGTGCATTAAAGCCTGTCAAATCAGGCGTATAAACAGCTGTACTTTGTTGATAACCATATAAGCATACACTGTAGAAATTTCTTCCAAGCGTATTTTGAATGTTCGTTAATTTATTTAGACATTTTCAATAGCATTTCAAAGACTTAAAGGCGTCAATACACTGCATGTTACTTCTGTAATTAATGGGTGTTGAAAAAACAGGAATGAATCATGTATGATGGGAATGAAGAGATAAATTGATTGAGGGCTACAAAGGGAAAAGGGGTATGGAAGAGTTTTGAGCATGAAGGAGTCATGGAGGAAATTGTAGGGGTAGGGAAGAAGCATGACCAGCCTCTGTATCTGCCACCTCTGTAACCATCTCTGGCCTGTTTTGGTACATGGTAGCCCTTTGTCTCCTAAGTATGAAAATTCCATGAGAATGACTGAGCATACTGGACAAATAGCCGCAACTATTTGAGACAGATCAGGAAATAAGTAAGAGGTTGATCATTAATTTATCATTTGGCAAGTCATTTGACAAAACATAGGTTTGAAGAAACCACGAGAACATGAGTAGATTTCTACTTTATCTCAATAACTTTGTTTTTGAAGTTTATTATTCTTGAAATGAAAAATGTGTGCATGTATACATATACATATGTCTAAAAATGTTGCATTTCTATTGCACCTTTCAAATCTTGAAAATTCCTTTGGTGTTGTTCCCCCTAAATTGCATTAACAAAATAGAGATTTCATTAATCTTCTGCTGAGGTGAAATCAAGTCAGATTGATGCAGGTGTAAATAAAACAAAATGAGAACAGCAGAGAAGGAAGTGATTAACTACATTAGAAGGTTTAGTGATACCAAGGAATGCAGGGAGAGATAATGCATGTATTTGCAGTTGTTACGAATTCCATTATTAACTCAGACTAATGCAGTCTTTAGAGATGAAACAAAATCCTCACAGAGGAAGTCAAGAGAGTTGGCTGGAAAAGACGTGAGGATCTGAGTTCGGCAAGGAGAGGCAAGGAAAGGAAAGGAAGTAAAGGGCAGTATGTAGGACAGGTGGTGATGGCAATCTTGAAGGATTTGAGCAGCTCTCAGAAAAAAGGAATGCATTATAAATTGCAAGAAACAATCAACTTAAGGAAAGTAGGTGTATGGTTGAGGGATTCAATCTTTAGGAGGAGAAGAGTTGATGCTAGGGATAATCCCCTCTCCCCACAATTGTACTTCTTAAAGAGTTCTGCCACTGTTGTACTGTAATATTATTTTATGTGATCAAATAAATACATGAATCACATTCGCGTGCACGTCATCCTACATTTTTGGGAGTAATATATTTAATCTCCAACAAAGCAAATGGAAAGATTCATTTTGGTTGTGCTTATATAGTGTTTTATTTTAATTGAATCCTTCAAAATTGCTTCAATTTAAAAAAAAACTGAAAATGTACAAAGAACTTACAATTCTTAAACAAATTATTGAGCTGACTCCGAAACATTTTCACTCGCAAATCCCATAAACAAGGATTGGACAGAAAACGTGTGAAAACCACCTTTCAATTAAGAGATCAGGATTGCAGGAAAAAAGTTGGCTCAGTAGATCTCAATGTTAATTCCCAATGTACATCAGTCCACATTAACACTACGTACCATGTGGCACTAAGGTGCCAGTCTTGGACAAATACATCCCAAAAATAACAGTGAAAAGAGATCGGAACAGGTTAAACTGATATAATAACAAGTGTATTCTGCCATAAAATAACAGAATGCAAGATCACATTTGCCATCATGCACACAATTAGTTCCTAAACAATGCCATGTTGTCCCAGGCTTTAAATGGGGAGAATGAAAACAATTTGCAGGGCAAATCAACTCAACTGCTCACAAAGGAGTATTATCCAGGTCTCAAATCAGATATGGTGCACTCTGAAGAAGGTAGAGGCAGTGGAGGTAAAAGCTTATAAGGGAGGATGATACAGATTTTAAACAAAAGAAAATAACCAATTATTAATTGCATAATGCACTACATTCGGCTTTTTTTGTACATGGTGTGATGGGCAGGTTTGTGGAAAAAGATTTCAGAAACATCTGGAAAATTTCCACAATAAATGACTTCAAATCATCTGCTTTTCTTTGTTATTGTAGAACATGAAGGAGCTCCTAAGATGCTGTCGTTATTTCAGTATGAAGTAGATGAAAAAATCCATTTTCAGTTTTAATTTAAAATAATTTTCCAAGATGTACAAATGTAGAGATTTCCTGTAGAATCTTACATAACTTATTGTATACAGCTGACATATGACAACATTGTGTAAGAAATTCTGCAGTGTGCATTCTGGGTAATTCAATCTTTTCATGATTTGATTACTCTCATTTGAAAGACAGCAGTTTAAAGCAAGTATAAACAGCAGGAACCAAAATAATACTGAAAAATTATGGCAATTATCAGAACTGCAGAATTATAAGCTTGCTTAGTGGTGTAATAATTTTAAAGCTCAATTTATTTCTTGTGAACTGCATACAGTGTGCTAAGTGAGTGCATAGTATAAGCAATACAATGTGAGGTCATAACTCAAAGGAATGTAATTGTTTTAATTTACCTGGAGGTGTATAGGCATCCATTGAGGTTTGCACCACCAGAGACCGTCTTTTAGATGGCATAGGAACTGCCATCTTTCTCTCTTTATGTTTGGCAAGAGCAGCTTGAACTGCCTCTGTGTGTACATCTGAGAAAGGGGTGAATACAAGTTTTAAATATTATCGCAGAAATTTAAGCCCACAGAAACATCTTCTTTTGAAACTCATCACATAGATATCCCATGAGAAATATACTTATTAAAGGCAAACCCCTTATTTATAAATTATTCATGATTATCAATACAACAGATCCTTATTATTATTTACTCAAGAAGACCCTTCATAGAGAAAAACTCTACTGTACACATGGTAGTTCAACAACAGCTGCATTACAACAAATAATTTAACATGTTACTTTTTTCAACAAGCTTCAGAGGTCCCTCTACCATAAGCAAAATGATGCAAAATAAGCACAACACTTCTTCTTTCATTAAGCTTAATTATTTATTCTCAATTTTTAAAAAAACTGATCATATTCATCAATTAAAATCCAGGACATAACAGGTTGCAAGTGACGTTGAATGTAAAGCTATATTTAAACCATGTCTGAGCAGTCATTTAGTGACCAAGGTAAACCCCTTCCTCCAGGGAGATCTTCCAGTCATCTCTAAGGCCTCCAGAGGCAACATCAGCAACTGCCCCTCCGACCAGGCTGCCTTCCTCAGTCCCACATCTACAGTTTCCTCCCCACTTCTTCCCAACCCCTTTTGCCAGAGGCATTTGGTGACAATCTCTGCACCCAAAGGCCCCTAAACCATGGACCCATCAATATTTCCTCCCCCACTAAGGCTTCAAACCACCCAACACCCTCAACTCAGCCCTCCACGCAATGAGGTCTCTGACCACTTCCCCTATCGCCAAGATCCTCAGTACCCATCTCACTTAAAATGAGGTTCCCAACTTTCTGTGCTCCCCATGTTCCTGTCGAGGATGCGGTGAGTAAAAGGCATTCATGTTTCAATAGGTATTTAAAAGGAAAACAGTAAGTAACATGAGCGTAAGTAACATGGTCCGTTGACAGGGAGACTGGGGAATTAATAATTGACATTACAGAAATGTTAGATGAAGTGAAGCAACATTTTGCCTGTCTTCACTGTAAAGGAAATGAAGAAACTTGCCAATAAAAGCCATAAATCAGGGATAACAGGGAGACAGGAGGGGCAAAAGCCTCACTCTGTATTCATGGAGGTAGCCCATGTGTTTTATGGCTTCATATCAGGCTCATTCATTAGCTGTTGGAACTTCCTTCCTGGAAAGGGCGGTGGGGGAGAGCAGGGAGTGAGCTGTTCACCCTCTCTCATAAATCTCTGCCCAAAGTCTCTGATTCTTCCTGCAGACCCCAAGGTCTCTGACTGCCTTCCCACAGAGCCCTCTGACTCCCCTGCCCATTCTCCCAACTACCCATGGAGTTTGGAGCCATTGACATCTATGACGGAAATTCTATAAAAACTAATCATTAGAACATATTCTTTATTCAGGCGACTGACAAACGAAACGTAATTTTGTTAACATTGAAACAATTTTTTTACAGTACTAAGAATTGCAAGTCTCAATCATAAAGTGGTTTCTGGATCACAAAGGATAACTATGAGACAAAGTATCTTTAGCTTCACAAGTTTCTATGAGGCTATCATTAATAATCAATGATATTTTCTAACAGTTAGGAGTAATATTACTTACGTTATTAAGTGAACAGATATTTAACATGGCAACATTTAATTACCTATTATCTCCTGAACATAAGAGAATCAGCTTGAGAAAAGAGCATCACAATCTGTTCATCCAACAAACTCAAGAAAGAAAAGTACAGAGATTGCAATCCTATGGGAAATCATATTTGCAGATACAGAGAGAAGAGGAAAGATAGTGAAAGGCAGTCAAGGTATTTAAGTTCTGGTGTGGAGTAGAGAGGGGTGGGAGGCTCTAACAAGTGCGAGGAAGCATATTGTTAATTAATTAACAGATGGGTCATCAAGAAATTTACTAACATGTTATACTCGCAATTCAGCACACAGCCTTAATTCTTACTTTGAATATGAAGGCTGTCAGAATTTTCAGCAACTTGAACTGGACCTTTTGTTCTAACAAGTGAATCATTTTAGAAATACAAGAGAGATGTCACAGCTGTAACAACACCCAGAGGCAGCAGTTAGAAATACTCTTGGAGTTGTCATTACAACAGCACACTGCCGAAAATATGAATACCTTAAAGGGAGGACTTCTTGAGCAGTGTTGGGAGAAGTAAGGAGTGGAATAATTTCCACAAATATGATATTAACACAATAGTATGAAGTAGTTACAACAGATTTTGTGATTCTATAACTGCGAATAAAAAAATTTTGATGTACAAACCTAGTCACTAGTGCAAAAATAATTAAAGTTGAGCTACTGTCATACCTGATCTGTAACGTTCATCTCGTGACCCTGATGACCGGCGACGGTGGTATCTGGAGGAGGATGACGGTGTGACTGGTGTTCGACGCTCTTGTGGTAGTGAAGGCTCCACTCCTGTGTTAAAGGAGTAAAAACAATGCTCAGTCTAACATACTTCAAATCAATAAACAGTAAGAAGATGACCATTCTGCTTCTCATGAACATCAGTGAGGGAGCACCATTTCTACATTTAAAAACATGTTAGTTGCACCTTACTTGTTATTTCTATAAAAAGAAATGAAACTGTCCTTCCTAGAGACCAGTTTGCGATAAGTTAAAACAAACCACCACCAAGATGATAAATCAATACTTTAATGAGAAAAATTATTCATGAGTATCAAATCTAGTTTAACTTTAAACATGTGCAGAAGTAGTAGAACGTTATCATAAAAACAAGTAACATTCCCAGTAAACTAACATATTAGCCTTAGGTTTCTGCTAGGTTGCATTATTTTTTCCACATAATTCTTCCAGAGTCAACAAACCAATGCAAAAGGTTACAGAATTTCAAGTGTAAGTTATGCCGAGTCCAATTCAGGTTTATACAAAGTTGTTCTAGTTTTAAAAAAAGCTGTATGCTAAAAACCAGCCATGCCCACAAGTCTCTCAACAGCCCCAGGGTGAATTAACCACTTCGATGAGCTTTCATCATTCTTGTTTATAGACCACCTTTTGGTTGCAAGGACTTTTATAAGCACATTTTAAAACATTTTGAATATATAATTTTTTTTCCATTTATTAAGAAATGACTCAGAGGTGGTGATGCTACAGTGGTAATGTCACTGGACTAGCAATCTAGGACCTCTGGCTAATAATCTGAAGACGTATATTCAAATCCCCCGGGCAGATAGCGAAATTTGAATTCAATAAAAATCTAGAATTTAAGAGATGACCTAATAGTGACTATGTAATGACTGTCAATTGTCAGAAAAACCCATCTAGATTCATTCATGTCCTGTTGAGAAGGAAATCTGCCAACTTTACTTTGCCTGGCCGACATGAGACTTCAGATCAATAATAGTGTGGTTCCTTCTTACCTGTCCTCTGAAAGCCAAACTGATGCCCACAGCCCATACGATAATAAAGAAAAGAAAACTGATTACTAGACACCGCACAGTGAACAAATGGTTTTGTTTAGTTTTTTTCAAAGTTACTCTTAGTATTTGAAATTCAGGTTACTCACAGGTTAACCCAGGTATTCTGATTCAAAACATTTATTTTTGGAATAAACCCTTTCTCTTTATTAATCAAACTGGATCATGTTACCCTTCTTTGACATAAGGTGAAATTTTTTTATTAATCACTCGTGGGATGTGGCTGTCACTGTCTGGACCATCATTTATTGCCTGTCCCTAGTTCCCCTTGAGAAGGTATTGGTGAGCTGCCTTCTTGCACTGCTGGAGTGCATGTTCTGTAGATAGCCCCACAATACCTTTTAGGGAGGGAATTCCAGGATTTTGACCCAGCTACAGTGAAGGAACGATGATATATTTCCAAGTCAGGACAGTGAGTGGCTTGAAGGAGAACTTGCAGGTGGCGGTGTTCCCATGTCTCTGCAGTCTTGTCCTTCTCGATGGTCATGGGCTTGAAAGGGCTATCTAAGGAGCCTTGGTGAGTTTCTGCACCTAGCCTCTAAACTGCTCTTGCAGCCACTGTATTTATATGGCTGGTCCAGTTCAGTTACTGCTCAGTAGTAACCTCCAGGATGTGTTTAGTGAGGAACAAAAACAAAGTTGCTGGAAAAGCTCAGCAGGTCTGGCAGCATCCGTGAAGGAGAAAACAGAGTTAACGTTTCGGGTCCCGTGACCCTTCCTCAGAACAGTGTTTAGTGAGGATTCGGTGAATGATAACACCATTGAATGTCAAGGGGCAGTGATTAAATCATCTTTTATTGGTGATGGTCATTGCCTGGCATTTGTGTGGCATGAATGTTAATTGTCACTTGTCAGCCCAAGCCTGGATATTGTCCAGATCTTGCTGCATTTGAACTCTTTCAGTATCTGAGGAGTCATGAATGGTGCTGAACAGTGTGAAATCATTAGAGAACATCTACAGTTCTCACCTTATGGTGGAGGGAAGGTCATTGATGAAGCAGCTGAAGATGGTTGGGCCTAGGACACTACCCTGAGGAACTCTTGCAGAGATGTCCTGGAGCCGAAATGACTGACTCCCAACAACCACAACCATCTTCTTATGTGCCAGGTATGACTTCAATAGCATGGAGCTTACACCCTGATTTCCATTGATTCTAATTTTGTTATGGTTCCTTAATGCCATACTTTGTCAAATATGGTCTCAATGTCAAGGGCTGACACTCTCACCTTTGAAATATTTTATTCTAAAAACCGGAGTGTATTCTGATCATTTAAGGTAGATTTTATGTTCAGCAATATGCAAATGAGTTTCAGCATAAATTTAAAGAAGAGATACTTATCAGAACTAGAACAATTTGCACCTGGATCAGATTGAGAACATCTTCCCTTTGTTTGCACCTCAATTATAACATCTGGAGAATGATGTGTAAGAAATTGTTTTATAACATCTGAACAACCCAACATATTTACTTCCTGGGCTCATGGGTTACTGAATCAAACATCACCAGCTGGTTTATTATTCATTAAAAGCTTCACTGTATAATTTTATTGTAATGACCTCTCATTATTATTTTAGTAAAATGTATACTTGTGTCCATTAGTCATCATGGAGCGATGAATATGCATGAAAGAGACTGTGATTCACAAGTCATAAAGTGTTTGAGAATCAGGAAGTGCCTGGAAGTCATCAGATGAAACTGCAGTATCAGAGATGTAGAAATAATAAATTCACAAAGTGAGAAATATAACGTTAGAAGTGAGAACTTCACCTTACAGTTTGGCAAATATGAAACATTTACAAGACAATCACTGTAAATGTCGATCAAAAATGTATCACATTTCAAATGAAGGACTAGATTTTTGGCTATCCAATTAAATTCATAGAGATTTTCTTCCCCCCTCTGTATTTCTTCACAAGATGTGGACATTTACTGCAGTATCCTTCACGGTCCTAGGAATAGTGGTGATGAGTCACCGATACTGGCAATCATAGGCTGTAACAGGAAGGGATAGACAGTACAAATCTAACAGTCAATCAACAGATAAGGCTAGGGATTACAAAACTGATATAAAAAGGACAAAAGTAAAAAGCTCTGTACCTAAATTCACATACCATTTGAAACACAGTGACAGTGCAGATAGATGGCTGCAAGATGACACAAATTAGGACCTGACCAGCATTCTGTCTAATTTTCTGAGCAGTTGTGTCAGCCTCTAAAGCCTGTGAGCTGCAGTGACTTTCACAACTGGAAGTCACTGTCACTATTGGCTTGTGTATGGAATACTGGAGAGGCTGTGCATACCACAGAAGAGTGGGTCCAAGCCTGGTTTTTAAATTTAAGTTTAAATAAGGACGATTTAAATGGAGCTCACTAAAGTGAACTGGCCAATTAGGTTAAGGATTAGTTCAAGAAGAGATGTAAAAGCAGTCACTTAAGAGGATATTTTAGAATACACAAAATAGTTACATTCCAACAAAAAAGAAAAGCTACAAAGGGGTGGCCTACCATTTGTGGCTAAGTTAAAAAGCTAAAGCTAATATCAAATATAATGGAAAAGCATATAATTACACAAAAGATGGGTGGCAGGTCAGAAGATTGGACTAATATTTAAAAGGCAAAAAATGATTGAAAAGATTATTAAGGACAAAAAAAACCCGAGAGAAAGCTGGCTTGAAATACAAAAACAGCTAATTGGAGATTACTTAAAAAAGAAAAACTATTTAGAAAGTGAGCCTGAGTCCTACATAAAGTGAATCTGGGGAATTATTAATCATAAAAAAGGCGAGGGAGATGAGTTGATTGGACATTTTGCATCTGACTCCACCACTGAGGATATAGGTAAGATGTCAGAAATTGTTGTAGATCCGGAAATGGAAGAGAAGGAAGAACTCAAAATTAAAATCACTGGGGAAGTAGTATTAAGCAAGTTATTGGAGGTTCAGGCGAATAAGTCCAAAGTCCCGCTGGGCTTCATCCCAGGGTCTCAAAAGAAGTGGCCAGTGAGATAGTTGGTATTAATTTGGTATTGGTAGTGACATTGATATTGATTTTCCAAAATTCTCTAATTTGGTTGAAGGTTCTGTTCAACTACAAAGCAGTGAATAGAATCAAAGAGTTTTACAGTACAGAAGGAGGTCATTCAACCCATTGTGTCTATACTAGCTCCCAAAATAAACTAATTTCTAATTCCAAAAGCTACCCAGCTGGTCCCACTCTCCAGCCCTACCTCCATTGCACTCTAAATTCATCACTTCCAAATATATATCCAGCTCTCCTTTGAAATCACCTATGGAATCCATCTCCACCATGCTCCCAGGCAGTGCATTCCAAATCCTATCAATTCCCAAGTAAAGAAGTTTCTCCTCATCTCGCTCCTAGCTCCCTTGCTGACAACAGTGAAATTGTGACACTTAGTTATTGACATACCAACTAATGCAAACAGAATATCCTTCTTTACCCTGTCAAAATTGTTCATAATTTTGAACACTTCAGTAAGATCACCTCTTATTCTTCTCTGCTCCAAGGAGAATAAGCCCAATTTTTCTAATCTTTCCCTGTATCTAAAATCCCTCATTCAAAGCATCATTCTAGTAAGCCTCTTATGAAAGTCTGTCCAGGGCTTTAACATTCTTCCTTAAATGTAACTCACTTATTCATAAATGGTCAGTGACAGAAAGCAGGAAACTTCAAGCTAGTTAGTTTAACATCTGTCATAGGGAAATGCTGGAAACTACTAGCAAAAAAACAGCAGAACACAGAAAAAAAAAATAAGGTAATTAAGCAGTGTCAACATGGTTTGTGAGCGGAAAATCATTTTTCAAATCTGTTTATTGGAGTTCTTTGAGGAAAGTAACATATGCTGTGGAGAAAAGGGAAGCAGTTGATATACTGCACTTAGACTTCCAGACGGCATTTGATAATTGTGCCACAAATGTTATTGCAGAATAAGAAAGCTCATAGTGTAGGAATAACATGTTGG